CATGGCACATTGGGGGTCAGCACCAACAGCCCAGGGAGGGCCCCTACCCAGTTCACACAGCACAGCGCCCCCTAGTGGTGCATCGGGGCCAGCACCGACGGCCGGGAGAGGGACCCCACCCCGCTCCCTGCAGCACGGCCCTCCCCTGACTGTCCCCCGTCCCGTCTCCCCCAGGCAACGTCTCACTGAGCCGCCCCATCAAGGGCTGCGTGCAGAACAAGGACTGCACCAAGGAGGCAAGGGGCAGCACGGCCGTCAACCTGGTGGGCTCCTGCTGCTCCGGCCACCTCTGCAACGGGGACCTGACCAACAAGACGTTCTTCGCCCCCAACATCCCCCGGCTGGAGGTCATGCCCGGCCAAGGGGCCAACGCCACGGGCGCCAATGCCACTGCCACCGCCACGGTCACCGCCACCGCCACGCTCGCCGCCGCCGCCACGGTCACTGCCGCTCCCACACCCCTGCCTCCGGACCACGAGGACCATGACGACCACGAGGATCATGACGACCACGAGGACCTCATCCGGGACGACCGCCACATCACCACGGAGGGCGAGCGGCGGAACAACCCGGGCGTCAAGCTGCCGAGCGGCGGGAAGGGGGGCGCGGCGGGGTTGAGCGCCTCGGCCTGGCTCATCTTGCTCGGGTCCGCCTTGCTCCTGTGAAGGGGGCACCAAGGAGGGGAAACGGCACGAGACGCCCCCCACCCATTCACCCCCCCATCACCCCCATTCCCGCTCCGCTGGCCAGCCTCCCCCTGACTTCTTCAACTCCAGCCAGGCTTCGGCCCATGCACGGCAGCCATCTTCTTTAGTTGAGCAGCAGCTCTTGATGTCAGGCCAGGTTGGCCCTGTTGGCGTCGCCAGGCGGGGCTAAGTCTCCAGGTTGCATCTCCGTGCAGAGCCCCATCCTCACGACACCTGGCCTTCTCTTCGGCCTCCCCACAGCAGCCATTTTGGTCTGGAAGCGGCGTGGCTTGATGTCCCTCTAGGGCATCGTTTGTGGTTGCCCCCTTCACGCAAAATGTCCACGGAGCCCTTCTCATGGCACCACCACAAATCCAGGCTTCCCTTTGGCCTGCACAAGGCAGCTATCTTGGTTGCCCGTGGCCTAGTTTTGCCTACTTGCAGTGGCCAGCTTGTTTTTTAAGTGGGGGGGAAACAACACGGAGAGGGAAGAGCCATACTACCCCTGCCCTCCAGAACAAATTCCCACGTGTCGCCTTCCCATATCGCAGGCCATATTCTTATAGCAGCACAGCAAATTCCGGCTTCTCTTCAGCCTGTGCACGGCGGCCATCTTGTTTCTACATGGCCTAGTTTGACCCCAGTCTGGGGAGGGCTGTGACGGCCGCCATTTTCTGTTTGCTTGAGTGGATCCTATCCCTTCTTCACCCCACCCAGGTGCATGCTTTGCCACGCCAATGCACCTTCGAGTGTTTGTGTTATCTGCCAACACTGGGCAGCCATCTTGTTTCTTTATGCCACATCAGTTGACATCTGTCTAGGGAAGGTGGCCACTGCTTGGTCTTCATTCCCCGGGGAAAAGTCCCAAGGCTGCTCCAAATCAAATACAGGACTACATACAGCAGCCATCTTGCCATTATTCTTGGCCACCCATTTTGTCTCCAGCCAACAGGGTGGTGGGTCCTGTTGCCATGGCGCCAAAGGCAACTCAGGCTTCTAACAGCCTGCTAGGCCTCAGCATTGGGACCCACAGTCTATGCCCCCTCCACACACACACGCACACACGAGGCTGGTTGTGGAAGATGGCGCAACAAGATGGCCGCCGGCACACGGGTCGTAGACACGGTGGCCAGGGCACAGCAATGGAAAGGGAGGGGCAATGGGTGGCTCATCCTTATGGCTTGGTGGGCTTGGGCACTTCCCCCCACCCCCCACCAACTTGCCCGCTGGGTATTTAACCCCAATAATGGGGTCCCAGCACAACTTCCCATCCTTCCACCAGCCCCGGTGGCACAGCTCAGAGAAGGATGGGATGGTGCTAAGAGAGCGGAGGGGTCAATGAGTTCCTCACGGCCCCAATGGGGCGATAGGGACTATCCCGGATCAGCCCCACGGGCCCATCCAGCCCAATATCCCGCCTTCTCCCTGCCCCCCCCCCTCGCCCCAGACCCATCCACCCTGGTGTCCCTGCTACCTGAAGCCTCTGGCCCCATTACGCCCCCTCACTGTGCAATATTCCCCTTCCTGACCTCTCAGCTCAGCACATGCCCTGGAGCCGCGAGTGAGGCGTCCCGGAATCGTTCTCCCAGCTGGGGCGGCTGCAGCTGCCCTTCCCAATGTAAATAGTTTCAGAGACTCAACTCTCGCCGTGGGAAGGGGGCCGGGAATTCCCGGGGAAGGGTTTAAAGGCTCATTAATAAAAGGATTGTAGCTGTGTTTAAAGGGGTCTAGCTCTGTTTCTTTGGGGGTCCGATTTTTTGCCTGGGTCAGTGGCTGCCTTAACGTCCCCGTCCTGCTCTATTTAAGGAAAATGTTTCCTTTAGCGTCAGTGGGGCCAGATCCCCAGCTGGGTGGGGAACGGGACATGGGGACTTTCCTCTCTCGCAGGCATCTGGGCCCCCACCACGCTGGGCACTGCACAAAACCCCCTGGACCGGGCTCGGAGCCCCAGTCAGGCCAGGCTCGCACCCTGCCCTGAAGCACATACTACATAGGGAAGGATGATTGCACCCAACTTTACAGATGGGAAACTGAGGCACAGAGAGGACCTGACGCAAGGTTGCCCAGCGACTCAATGTCAGGGTTAGGAATTGAACCCAGCTGTCTGGGGTCCCAACCCAGCCCCTTTACCACAAGTCCTTCAACACTTCCTAGGCTGGAATGGTCCCTTGGGATCATCCCCTAATAAAGCCCCAATGCAGCTCGAATCAGGGCCCAAATCCAGCCGAGAGGAAGGACTGGGGCAGCCTGGGACCCGGCACACCTGGGTTCCAACCCCCGCTATGCAGTCCTTCGGGCAGTTTCCCCACCACCAATTTGGGGATAACAGCCCCACGCGGGGCAGGGAGGGTGGCTAGGATCAATGTGTTAAAAACTGCGAGGTCCCCAGAGGCCACGGTGATGGGCAGACCAGGACTCTAGCCACTTCCCCGAAACATCAAGGAGGGCTGACGGCAAAGCCAGGCACGGGGGGCAATCTCCCTCGCGTTCGGGCCCCTAGAGAGCATCTCCATCACCCCACCTGGCCCTGGTTTGCCCCACCGGCGCACCGCGAGATGCAATTGGCAGCACCACACACGTCAGCCCCGCCGGCTCCGAGCGGGCAGGTCATACCCGGCGCCCTGATGCCCCAGCAAACACCTCAGAAAGGAAGCCATAGCTATCAGCGTGATCAGCTTCACCGGCTCTACAGCTCGGTATCTGTCGATCATCGTGAGCGACTGAGAAACCTCCCGCCTCGCAGAGTATCAGAGGCCGCTTCTCCGGAGCAGCCTTGAGGTTTCTGCTCTGATCGAGGCACGAGAGATAAGAACTGACAGACAGATTTCAGGCCCCCGCCTCCAGGGAACTTTCTGCACCTGAGTCTGTTCTAGGCCAGGGCAGGGGGCTTCATCCTGCGCCTAGAGCACTGGCTCCCCTCACACCCCAGCTCTGTCGGTGCCCCACAATCCTAACCCGCAGGCCCCTGCTAGCCGAGCCCTGGGCTCCCCCTCTACATTCAGATTTAAAGTCTATCGGGCCAGATCCCCAATTGATGTAAATTCAGTGCTGTTACAGCCGATTGATCCCAGCTGGGGGGCTGGCCCCACTGACTCCAGTGGAACTCCGGCCGATTGACATCTTCATTAATGATCTGGAGGATGGCGTGGACTGCACCCTCAGCAAGTTTGCAGATGACACTAAACTGGGAGGAGATACACTGGAGGGTAGGGATAGGGTCCAGAGCAGGGCCGGTGCTACCATTTAGGCAAACTAGGTGGTTGCCTAGGGCGCCAAGATTTGGGGGTGCCAAAAAGCGGTGCCCCCAATTTTTTTTTTTACATCGTTCCTACGCCCCCTCCCCAAGCGCGCGGGGTTGCCGTGCCACTTCTCCCGCCTCCCAGGCTTGCAGCGCCAATCAGCTGTTTGGTTGGGCACCTTAGGGCTGGCGGCGGGGGGCACAAGGTGAAAGTTTCGCCTAGAGTGTGAAACTTCCTTGCACCGGCCCTGGTCCAGAGGGACCTAGACAAATTAGAGGTTTGGGCCAAAAGAAACCTGATGAGGTTCAACAAGGACACGTGCAGAGTCCTGCACTTAGGACGGAAGAATCCCGTTCACTGTTACAGAGTAGGAACCGAGTGGCTAGGCAGAAGTTCTGCAGAAAAGGACCTAGGGGTTACAGTGGACGAGAAGCAGGATATGAGTCAGCAGTGTGTCATTGTTGCCAAGAAGGCTAATGGCATATTGGGCTGTATAAGTAGGAGCATTGCCAGCAGATCGAGGGACGTGATCATTCCCCTCTATTTGACATTGGTGAGGCCTCATCTGGAGTACTGTGTCCAGTTTTGGGCCCCACACTACAAGAAGGCTGTGGAAAAATTGGAAAGAGTCCAGCGGAGGGCAACGAAAATGATTAAGGGGCTGGAGCACATGATTTATGAGGAGAGGCCAAGGGAACTGGGAGGAATCTCCATCCTTAGAGGTTTTAAGGCCTGGCTTGACAAAGCCCTGGCTGGGATGATTTTGTTGGTGTTGGTCCTGCTTTGAGCAGGGGGTTGGACTAGAAACCTCCTCAGGTCTCTTCCAACCCTAAGCTTCTACGATTCTAGGATCCCAGCTGGAGGTCTGGCCCCATTAACTCCAATGGAGCTAAGGCCGATTGACCCCAGCTGGGGTCTGGCCCCCGATTCTGTTCCCCATCAGTGTTTGCCCTTGACGGGCCCCCAGCCCTCGATTTTGGGGTGGAGGTGTAAGCTCCTGGATGCCCTCCAGTAGAGGTGGACTCCTGAAAAACAGGAAACACGGTGTTGAAATCAAAACCCCAGCTCGAGACGCATGAGAACACGGTCAGATAATTATCTTGCTGCACAAGAACAAAATGCGGCGGAGGCTGCTAAGACCTGGCCTCTCTGCAGCACCTGAAGGGTTAATGCCCTGCTAGCAGCTCAAAGGCCGATGCCCATCCCGGCAGCCTTAGGCCAGGAGAATCATTGTTACCACGGCTGGTGTAGTTGGCAGCCGCAGGTGGGATCCCTGTGTTGGCGCCGGAGAGGGGCTCAGGCCTGGCTTTGTGGATAAGAAAGGGCTGATGGGAAATTTAGCTAGACAAGCAATGTGATCTAGTGAGTAAGGACATAGGGCTGGGAGCCAGAACTCCTGGGTTCTCTCCCTGGCTCTGGGAGGGGAGTGGGGTCTAGTGGTTAGAGCTGGGGGCCTGGGAACCAGGACTCCTGGGTTCTCTCCCCACCTCTACCACCAACCTATTGTGTGACCTTGGCCAAGTATCTTCCCCTCTTGCTGCCTCGGTTTCCCCTTCCAGCCTTTGCCTATTGAGACTGGGCACTCTCTGGGCAGGGACTGTCTCTGCAGCCCCTGGCACAACAGGGCCCTGAGCTCAGACCAGATCTCTAGGTGGCACCTTACTGTGAAATATACACCGTGAGCTGCTTGCACAGATGGGGAAACCGAGGCGGGGGGATGGCAGTAACATGGCCGGTTTCTCACAGGGAGTCTGCGGCAGAGCCGGGAACAGAACCCAGGAGTCCTGAATCCCAGGCGCCTCAGCCACAAGCCCCCGGCGCTACGCGGCGCCAGAAGAGACACAACGACGCAGCATCAATTAAGACGCTTTGTCAAGGGAAATCTAGGCCAAGGCCACAAGGCGCTGCCAGGCCCAGCCATGGCCGTCAGGAGGCACTTGTGTTGCAGTTGGGCCCCTGCTCAGGATCGGGGCCCCACTGCGCCAGGCGCTGCACAGATGCATTTCAGGAGACCATCCCTGCCCCCAAACCAGCGGCACCAGTATAGCCATTATCCCCTATGAGGAGCTAAAGGAGTAGCTCCATTTGCTGGCAGCACTAGTGTAGCTGTTATCCGCCCTGTGCACCAGCCCCTAGAGGCGCATGCTGCTCTCCTTTGCCCCCAGCATCCTGGTTCCTCGTCCGTCAGAGACCTCTACACCTGCGGAGGACGTAGGAGACCCAGGAGATCCAGCCCCCCAGGTGCCCATCACCCCTACCCCCACCCAGCCCCCTTCAGGAGACACCAGCCTGGGACTGCCTATGCTGAGCCCTCCCCCCATCCTCCGCACCTGAGCTCTCCCGCTCCCAGCCCTGCCTTGCTCTGCTCTCCCGGGGCGGGGACCACACTCCCCCCCAGAAGGGGCGCATCTAATCGCTTCCTGCCAGTGGCCCGGCGTTACTCAACTTCCTACCTTCTGCACAGCCTGCACAGACCCAGGACTGCAGACAGCGCTGAGAGGAACAAGCTCTGGTCTACCTCCAACCACAGCTCCCGGGCCCATGGCGTCCCCCTTCCCCACCAGGAGCTGGGGGCAGGTAAGTCCAAGCCTTGATTTGACAGATTGCAGGAGCCGGCCATGCAGCAGGGACAGCCGTCTACCAGCACCAGAGATGGGGATAGCCCACGTCTCCATCCCTCCCGGCAGCCCAGACAGAGAGAACCCAGAGACCAGCCCTACAGTCCAGCCAAAGAATGGAACCCAGAGTCCCACTCCCCTCCCAGAACCAGGGGGAGAACCCAGGAGTCCCTCCCCCTCTAACCACTAGCCCCCACTCTCCTCCCAGTGCTGGGGATAGAACCCAGGAGTCCTGGCTCCCAGCCCCCCTGCTCTAAGCCACTAGACCCCACTCCCCTCCCAGAGCCAGGGAGAGAACCCAGGAGTCCTGAGTCCCGGCCTCACCTTTTCTAACACTGGAGTGGGGGTGTGCATAGGGGGCAGCAGCCAGGACTCCTGGGTCCCTCTCAGCAGGCTGCTGCCCCAGCACTGGGCACGCCCAGAGGAGTCAGGCCCCCAAGCCAGCCTGTGGGTCAGGTGAAGCACGAGGGCATTGGAGCGTACCTGTAACCAGGGACTCCTCCTTAAGTGGGCGGGGGTCTCCATTGGGGTCCTGTGGGGATCAGGTCGTGCCCTGCACTAGTTACCGGGAACATCAAACCCTTCCAGCTAATGTCAGCAGAGGGCCCAGAAATCAGGAAATCCCGAGGGGGCCGGGGCAGGGACCCAGAGTGCACGGGCAAACGCCAGGCGTTTTAACACGTCCGCAAGTCCCCACCCGCGGCGAGGAACCACAACCGTCAGCCGGGGGCTCTCCCCTGGGGGGTGGCGACTCCGGAACAGATCTGGGACGATGGCGGAGAATCGGCTGGACTGGGGCTAACGCCGTCCTGGGATCTCGAGGAGCAGGGAAGGGATTTTCCCTCTGGAGCTGACCCGGGGGTGACGCTGCCGAGCCCTGGGTCTGGCCCTGGGGCACAGAGTCAGTCGGGGAGGGGTCAGAGCAGAGCCCCGAGGACGATTCAAGGGTTCAAAGCCCTGTCGCCGAGCGAGCGATACCAGAAGCTCCAGCTCTTGAGCTGAGCCCAGGACACGCTCCGGGGCGCCGTGATCCCCGTCCGTCCGTCCGTCCCTACGCAGGGAGCAGAGAGTTGATCGGGGCTGGTCGGTTTTTACTGGGGTGGGACCATTAATCATTGGGACCATGCACCAGGGCCATGGGGGATCCTCCATCCCCGGCAGATTTTCAGTTCAGACTGGGGGGTTTCCTAAAAGAACAGCTCCGGAGATGGTTTGTGGGGCAGCCTCTGGCCTGGGCTATCGGGGGGTCAGGCTAGACGGCCACAGAGGTCCCTGCTGGCCGGGGATCTGGGAATGACTGAAATCAGGCAAATACCCGCAGGGCAGCTAGAGACCAGCCCAATTGGCTCAGGGGGTGAATGGACCAAGATACTGTATAACGGGGTATGGCGGAAGAGCCAGGACTCCTGGGTTCTCTCCCCCGCTCCGGGAGGGGAGTGGGGGCTGGTGGTTAGAGCAGGGGGGGCCGAGAGCCAGGACTCCTGGGTTCTCTCCCCGGCTCTGTCTCTGACTCTCCGTGTGACCTCCAGAAAGTCCTTTCACCTCAGTTTCCTCCAGCACAAGTCGGGGTCGATGCTACTGAAGCTGGGGGGAGGAAGAGTTGGGAGACCCCCCGTAGCCGTGGCTCAGGAGGGGCTGCGTGGCTCTCCAAAGGACAGAGCCGTGTAGCACAAACCCGGGGTTACTGTGCCCCCGCTCCCCAGGGGACTGGCTCGGTGTGCCGCAGGAACAGAGATCTGCTGAGACAAGAGGTCCCGGGGCTGTCTGGGGGGGCGGAATAGCAGGGGCTGCGGGTCGGGAGTGAGTGGCACCCACACAGCTGGGGGAGGAGGGGGCTGGGATAGGAGGGGCTGCGTGTCGGGAGTTGGGGGCACTGGCAGAGGTGGGGAGGATAGGAGGGGCTGCAGGTCGGGACGGGGGGCACTGGCAGAGGTGGGGGGATAGAA